TTCAAGAAGCTATAACTCACCAACAAGAAAGATTTAAAGAGTCCCACAAATATTAAAACAATAACTAGTCTTGATCTACTGGAAAAGAATCTCATTTACCTCCAGAGTACTACCGCTATTGCTGGGCATTTTCTCGTGAGTTAAAAAACTTCTACTAGCTAGTGCTGCTCTCTAAACATCTCAAGGCAGTAAATTAGCAAGACTTTTCCTAACAGAAGAGAAGCTCTCACAGGTTTAGAGCACGCGATTGCAAAGATATACATTCTCAAAGACAAAAAAGAGCACACAGAATGAATGAATGAACGAGAGCACTAAAGTGCGTACCCTCGACACAATCTGTATGTAAAAGTTTTAATAAATTAAGAGAAAATAATTGGTGAAAGTTTTGAGACAGAGAAGAAGCTTCAGCATGTACTAGATTTATTAAAACTTAGAGAATGTTTTGAGACAGAGAATTTTTTGTTTTTTTAAACAAAGAGCTCCAGCATATTTGCTGCACTGCTGCTAGCTGCAGCATTGTAAAGGTGTGGCTGAATGAAGGTGTGGCTCAATCAAGCCATGCTCCACCCCCACACACAAGTAAATGGTGGCACATGGCCCTAAGTAGTGAAGAAAGCTTTGGTTTTTCTCGACTTTTAAATAGTTTAGCATACATTTGTTAGGCTCTATTTGTTGCATACAAACTGCTATCTATTCCCTAATGTTAAAAAACTCTGGCCACTACCTCGGGAGAAGAGAGCCTCGTCTAAACTCACAAGGTATGAAAGTTTGGGCTATCATATCTTTAAAACGAAGATGATTGGAGCAATTCCTCTCATATTAATGAAAGATGAGGCTTTGCTTAATTGTTTTATCTGCCCTGTTGCTCTTTTGCTTTCACTACGAAAGAGCTGCAGGAGAGCCAACTACGTTTGGCGACTTTGCCAGCTTCTTTTACCACGGAAAAGACAAATAAAGGATTCCCAAGACGGAGAATAACTTTTTCTAGAGGTAGTATTGATTATAAGACTCTCCAGGACAAGACAAGAAAGCAGTGTCAGCTCAAAAGTGGAGGTCAAAGCGAACACACAGACAGGACGACTGCTTTACCCTCGACCAACGCCTACGCGGTCTCGGGTAACGACCAACGCCTACGCGGTCTCGGGTAACGACCAACGCCTACGCGGTCTCGGGTAATGAAACACAGACAGACAAACCGAGTACCTAGTCCTCGCCTACGCAAAGCTGGGCGAGGCCAATAAGAATTTGTGGCATTAAATGTATTGATTTTGTGATTAGCACACAATGTATGCAAAGTACAGTAAAATGGAAAAGAAGTGCTTACTCTTTATCCCTAATTGTTGGGAATGTATGTGAGTAGCTGTGGGTTTGAGGGTACATGTAGGGTTAGGACAATTTGTACAGCTGTAAGCAGTACATAACAAACTCCTTCACAAATGAATTGTAAATGGTTTAGTTTATTAACTGACTATACACTTTAATTATAACTAATATGTAAATAATGCACACGACACTTGTGAAAGGGAGAGCAAGGTTTTTTGATAAAGTAAAAATATTGTTAGCTACAAGATAAAATTTAAAGTGGAATACTCTCACAAATGCCATTTATGTATTGTGATACTAATTGGTTACCTTGTGATCCACTATCAGTTTCATCATGGCCATTGTCTTTATCTATCTTTTTACCTTGGTGTCCTGAAGTTTGATTTGCTTTAGCTAAAATAGTTTACAGATTAATTATTATGGTAAATTTTTATGCATGTAGGCATTGGGGAAGCATATTATAGGCATCACATCTCTATATTAATTATACTACATGTGAAAAGTTAGTAGGAAGTAGATAAGGAGCTTTTCATGTGGTTGTATGAGTATAGCAGTGCTACTACAGCTGTGTATACTGTTAATTACAAAATAATGTACAAAGATGTGGGGACATATTAGGTATGGGTGAGCCTCAAGAATATACTTTAGACCACACACACTTACCAGGTATATTACTTGAGCAGTATAACAGTAACAGTATACAGCTGTGCTACTACAGGGGTAGCAGCTGTGCCGGCTACTCAAGTCAATACCCACATGATTTTACACTCCTGCACTTTTATTGCTTTTCAAAATATTAAAACTTTACTGTTTTAGCTTGTATAGATATAAAATGTAGTGAGTTCGGTTTTAATAGTGTTCAATAATTTTTAAAAATTGTGACACCCTTTTGTTCTTACTTGATAACTTTTCTCTCATGCTTGCTCCAATTTTCCTCAATGGTTCATTATCCACATCTTTGCTTTGAAACACATCACATATCTTCAGTAAACACTGGGCAGCCTGATCTTCATCTTCATTAATTTTTTCAAGTAGACTCTTAGCTACCTCACGTCCTCTCTCCTCATCATTAAGATTTGGTTGGGAATCTATTTGATCAAGTTTTTTTTTTGCAAGTAATTTTTTTTCAAAGAAATTGCCAGTAACAGTATTGAAGTTTTCTCTTTTTCCAATTAATGGACAAATTTTGCCAAACTTCTCTTGAAAAATGTCACCTGGAGTTTTACCTGTTTACATGAAAAAGAGCAGATTAGCTTCACATCAATTGTTTTTTAGAATTGAATATGTAGCAGCTAATTTAAAGCACTTACTTTGTTGGGTAGCCATTTCACTGAGCTGATAAAGAAGAGACTAGAAAATGAGAGCACAACTGAGAAGAGCTGAGGTCAATGAATCAAAAGATGAGAAATCTGGAATATTGGCACAGTTGGAATTTCCTGTTTATTTAATATTGATAGCCTAGTGAACTCCTCCAAAACACTATCACTATCATTTACTTGATCTAGTATTATACAATTTATCCTTATATGGAGCTCAAGTAATATACCCGGTAAGTGTGTGTGGTCTAAAGTACATTCTTGAGGCTCACCCATACCTAATATGTTCCCACATCTTTGTACATTATTTTGTAATTAACAGTTCTTGAGATGTAAGTTTTACTAATACAAGACCTTGTGTTACAAGTTTCCCACATTGTTATTGTACATATAGATATACAGGTCTATTGTTTCTTTAATAAGGGACAAATTACAATTAATTTTAAACTAAACTGAAAACAACTGAATTGCATAAATTAGTTTAAGAGCACACATGCTTAAATTAAAGGGTAACTGAAATGGTTTTTTGAGGTATTTATTTTATTGGCTTAATATGATTGCCTGAACTTTTTAATGAAGTGTGACAACTCCCATTGTTCAAAAAAAATTATTCACTGAGATATGAGCTTTCAAAAATGCCCTTTTTGCTTCCTGCCATTTTACTTCCTGTCGGTGGGTGTGGCTAAACGTGACGTCATTTGGGGCAGACTGGTGATTAATCCATTTCTTTATAGGGGGAAATAATGCTTTATTCTCATGCCTAGTAAAGTAATAGCACTAATTTAAAGACTGGGATCATTAGCTCTCATTAT